ATCCAAGACAGTCCTAGGTATGTTTTTTTTACTGTTCTTGCCAACATTCAATGACAGGCTACCATGCTGTCTCACAGACTTTCTTTAGAAAGTGCCATTGGATTTCCCATAAGGGGGAACTCCTGTGAAGTATTATGTGAAAGGAGGACTTGCAGGCTTTTTTCAAAACCAATACATTATATTTCTTCTCTGAAGACATATATTTCCTTTCATAGAACAACACTGAAACTTGGATTTCAAAGGAGTAAATACAGTACACACACACTATATTCTGTTTCCAATATAGAATGCTATCAGTATTTTGCAACAATAAAATGGAGTCACCATCTGCAAGTGCTAGTTCATCCATTCATGTCTCATTATTTCCCATCAGAGAGTGTAAAGCTTGCAAGAGCACATCTTAAATTGTTTACTGTGGCATTATCACTGGGCTAAATCAGGCTGCTTGTCTGCAGTGAAGGAGCTGGAATGTATGGGAACCAAGAATTCAAAAGAATAAACTATGGGTGGCAATGACATGAGTTATAAATAAGATGGATTATATACATTGAAAACATTCTGGTTTTCTGGATCAGCCATTTGTTTTCAGGTGCCTTTTAGATGACCTGGATTACAACATCTAGGTTGGAATAATGGAAATTATATCTGACATATCTGGAGAGTAGGAAATATATACTACCATAAAACAATGCTTTTTAGTTGGACTTTATTATTGAATGAGATGAGCAATTGTACCTAAGAAATTTAATAAATTTATTAAAGAAAGAAACAGGATATTTAAGTGCAGGATATTTAAGTCTTTTCTTTTGCAAAATAGGTACTAAAATCATACATGAGATGAAAGCAATAATCAACAAGGTAACCTGACCAAGCGATCAAAACTGTCAATCTGAAAGAAACAGATTAAGTTATATAGATGTGATCCTTTTCCATGAATACATAGAGCCACATTTCTCAACTGTATTAATTTTTCAAAATTAACGTGTAAATAAAAATGTGCAACTTATATTTATTTAAAGGGTTTTCCCAGTACTATGCTGCCTAGGTTCTTTTGAAAAGAGTCTCTTTTTCTAGAAATCATTTTGTGTGTTAAGATACTAATAGTGCAAAATTTACTATAAATGGAACAAAAGAAATTTCAATCTAGTTGTACTGATACCTGTGATACAGGCATATGCTGCCACCTTGGGGAAGACTCCTTTCCTGAAGGAGGCATCTTGAGTATAGTATAAATCAACTTCATGTTTGGCCTGTCATATCCCCACAGGAAGAAAAGTTTCTTAAATCCTTCTACTCATGCGGTCATAAGATCTTCCAGATGTCTCTGAGCATCTTTCATGTTATGATACTCATTGTGGAGAATTGCCATTGTTCTGAGTTGGAGCAGCATAGCTTAACATGTAATTTCACAATGCCTGTCTTAAATTAATATAACCTGGAATAGCAAACTAGGACAATGAATAGTCCTAAAAGTTACACCCATCTTCCCAACAGAATGGCTGAGTTCACACAACACTGTGAATGAGCAATTAAACCAATTAAATTCTGACTGTGCATAAAAACTAAGTTGATAAAAAAATCACTATTTTTGGCTTACTGAATCCACATTCATTTTTTATAGGAAGCAGATTCCTATGAGTCTTTGTCCAGAGAGAGTATTGAGCAGGTTTCATGATATCAGTGGCCTCTTTGCCAATGCCTAGGTTGGAAGCAATTGGTTTGAGTTGGATGTTATTGCCAACTCAATATTAATATTTAAGAGATATGTTCTATCTTGCTAGGCCTTGGCAGTAGACTCTGGAATGAGAAATTTTCTTATATAGCTAGTATTGGTAAGAAAAATTCCAATCTCTTGTTTTTAAAGAAATAACAACAACAACAACAACAACAACAACAACAACAACAACAACAACAATAATAATAATAATAATAATAATAATAATAATAATAATAATAAAGTTGGAAGGGACCTTGGAGGCATCTAGTCCAACCCCCTGCTCAGGCAGGAAACCCTATACCATTTCGGGCAAATGGCTGTCCAGTTTCTTCTTAAAAACTTCCAGTGTTGGAGCATTCACCACTTCTGGAGGCAGGTGGTTCCGCTGGTTAATTGTTCTAACTGTCAGGAAGTTTCTCCTTAGTTCTAGGTTGCTTCTCTCTTTGGTTAGTTTCCACCCATTGCTCCTTGTCCTGCCTTCAGGTGCTTTGGAAAATAGCTTGACTCCCTCTTCTTTGTGGCAGCCCCTGAGATATTGGAACACTGCTATCATTTCCCCCCTCGTCCTTCTCTTTGTTAAACTAGACATACCCAATTCCAGCAACCGTTCCTTATATGTTTTAGCCTCCAGTCCCCTAATCATCTTTGTTGCTCTTCTCTTACTCTTTCTAGAGTCTCAACATCTTTTTTACATCGTGATGACAAAACTGGATGCAGTATTCCAAGTGTGGCCTTAACAAGACATTGTAAAGTGGTATTAATACTTCACGTGATCTTGATTCTATCCCCCTGTTAATGCAGCCTAGCACTGTGTTGGCTTTTTTGGCAGCTGCAGCACACTGCTGGCTCATATTTAAATGATTGTCCACTAGGACTCTGAGATCCCTCCCACAGTTACTACTATTGAGCAAGGTACCCCCTATACTATACCTGTACATTTGGTTTTTCTTGCCTAAATGTAGAACCTTACTTTTTTCACCATTGAATTTCATTTTGTTAGATAGCGCCCAGTGTTCAAGTCTGTCCAGATCCTCCTGTATCCTAAGCCTGTCTTCTGAAGTGTTGGCTATTCCTTCCAGGTTATTCAGAATGTTTTTTGGTGGCAGGCACTGAGCTAATGGTGCTGGGTTGCTTCAGATTGTGACTTGTTTGTATTGTATGTTACACAAACCACCTTCAGTCCCTTGAGAAATGAGCAGCCTATATATAAATATAAATGCACAGAAATTCAAACAAACATTCACTATTTGTTAATTTACTAGCATGCTCATTTTTATGTCAGATAGAATGGATGGAACAATGCATACCTGTGCACAGTGGTTTCCAGACTTTCAGATTTGGGGACTGTAATGTCAACTATTTTTATAAACTTATATAATTTGTAGAATTATTTAAATATTTGTGTTATCCTCTTAATATCTATTCACTGAAATAAAAACATAACAAAAAGAGACTATGAATTAAGAAACGATTGAAAATGCTTTTAAACAATTTTGTATTTTATTTATCAGAACTACATCTACACACAGTTAAAAAAATAATATTACATATGCATGAAAGATCTTCACAGAAAGATCTTTCTGGCACTTGCTAAAAAAATCCCAAGGGACAGAGCCACTTCATTCCTTTCATTGATTGTTCTCCCCTACACATCACACTTGTTCCAAAAATTTAAATAAAAGAAGCTTTAAAAAAATCCAGGAATGGGGTATTTTTACATGCCCCACTTATTTACTTGTTCACACTTTGTACTTGCTTAGAAAACTAATCACTTTGTGCTTAGAGAAATAACCACACTATTTGCTGCTCACATGTCACAGCAGGCAGACAGATTCAAGCAAAACTTAGGCTCCTTCACATGGAAGTACAGTGGTAGCCCAGCCTATATGTGCATTGGTAGCAGCCAGGAGTTCAAAGGAAACTTCAGTGCAAAGATTGGTATGGCTAAGGAAGATCATATAAGTAGATCTGGAGAGGTCTTCTCCCCCCCTGCATTACTGCCTCTTCTTCTCAGCTTCATTTCTGAAGACAGAGTTGGGACATCTCTGTGAGTTGAAGCTAGGAAGTGAGGTGTGTGGAGACCTGTGGGATAGTTGGGTAGTAATGGGAATGGGAGAACAGCAATATAGTTCAGCAATATGTTTATAGGACAAGAACATGGATGGGCAATCCAAATCAGTTGGTAGTGTTTTTCCCACTCTTGCTCCTAGACCAATCTATATTTCCCCCTCACATCACCCCAAACACTGAAGTACGGTTTGGTCAGTGTCTGTGCCAGTGGAAGAGCTGTGTGAATGTATCTGATGTAGAGGAGTATAGAGAAGACCTTAGAGAAATGATATAGTTATCATTGCTAAAATATAGGGCTGTAGCGACTCACATGGTTAGAACACTGAGACAGAAGAACATTGAGAGGTCAACAGTTCAGCAATTCAAAGCCGAGAACACAAGCCACATGACAGAATGAGCTCCTGTCAATTTGTCCCAGCTCTTGCCAACCTAACAGTTTGAAAGCATGAGAATGCAAGTAGATAAATAGGTACCATTTGGTGCAAAATAACAGGGACATGAAAAGCACCTCCTCAGGTGTCCCTGGGCAACAGTGATGTTACCAGCTAATCCTTTCAAGATGGAAGATTGAATGTAGTAGTAGCAGTAAAATACGACCTTACCTGGGAAAACAGGAAAGCATGAGAATGAAACTGAAGATTGACTTTCTTCAGTACAAGATGGAGGGAAGGGTATTCTGCAAGCTTTCAAGATTCTGTTATTACAGAGTATATCAAAAAAGCAGAGTTCTAATATTTTTTGTGGCATTTGTTTCCTAAGCAGACTAAATCAACTGAAGCATTTCTCTTTTAAGAACCATCTTAATCTTTATTAAATTCTAATTGTTTATAAAACAAATCATTTTGGTTCTTTAATTCTTATATTTGCAGCATTTTAAATATTGTAAACTACTATTCTGATTTTGAGGAAAATCAATACACATTGTTACTCATATAAAATATATTTAAAAAATTAAACGTATAAGAATAGTAGAAGGGAGAAGTAAAGCACAAAAAAGCTTCCTTGTTTAGGGTTAACAGCTCTTCAAACCATTGAAGTATTGAAAACACTGGCTGAAAAATGACTTTCAGGTAAGTTCAGGCTAACAATTTCAGGACAAGAAATTATAAGTGACAAATGATTGGGCACATATTATTTCTAAATAAGGATCATTCTGTAAATCATTAACTTAGATAAAGACTCGGTGTCTGTCTCACAATGGTACGTTATCAAGATCTGCTTCAAAGTACAGGTTGACAAGACAGAAGCAGAGCAGAACTTTATGGCACAACAGAGTAAGTACATTTTGGATCAGATTGCTGCTTAATCCTATTCTTACCTGAGAATTGATTCTCCCACCCCCACCCCCGAAATGCAGTGCTTTAAACATGAGATTTGTTTAAGATTTACTGAGAATATGTTCAAGAGGCAGGTTTTCTTGTGTAGTTATAAATTAAGGGCTATCTTCTTTCAGAATATAGTTTTTTTTTGTATGTATGTGTGTATGTGTGTTTAGAATATGTGAATTCACATATGTGAATATGTTACTGTGTGTGTATAATTTATAATACCGTATATTCCAGCGTAAAAGGCGACCCAGCGTATAAGACGACCCCCGACTTCGGCGCTGAGTCGCATGCCTAGAAAGTCATCTTATACGCTGGAACTACCGTTATTTCTGGCATATAAGATGACTCGGTGTATGAGACGACCCCCGACTTTGGCGCCGATTTCAACGCTTTCAAAAGTCATCTTATATGCTGGAAAGTACAGTAACTTTCTTAATCATCAGTCCAGTAAGCCCTGAGTAAGCAATACACATGCTGTAGGACCTAATTTAAATTAAATAAGCTCTATTTTCAGTGGAAAAAAGAATTCTAGGTAGCTTAAATTGAAAAGCGGAAGCTTCCAATGTATTCCTCATTGTTCTTCAAGAGTAAAGGACAAAAGACCATACTAGCTCAGGTTTTACTGAGGATTTTTCTGGTGTTATATGATCCCCTATGGTCTAGAACATCTAATGTGCCTGCCACATTTATTTTGGTACTTTGCCTTCTGCTACTCAATGATGCTGGATATTTAAAAAAAAAAACCTACAGATACTTCAGATTGACTTTGGCAATCTAGTATTTTGCCTAGAATAATGTAAATACAGATGTATGTAAAGGGTAAAAAAGGCTTTGGAGGAAGTAAGGGAAACGGATGGTTGCACTCAGTGAGTTAATCCTTTTCTATCAAAATGAATATTGTTCCTAATTTAATGTGTGTTCTTAGAGGTATTCCTACGTTAATACTAAGGAACTACACTATCTCTTTCAGTTCAATAGGTGACTTTGGAATAGTGGACCATAAAATTTTAGCTATTTAAGATTGCCATTTGAGGAAGGTGGGTTTAATTTATCTAATTTGCAAAATATCATTGGGCATATATTTTGTGAGCTATTAGTATGTGGAATAAAAATATACTAGATTATTCTTTAAGGCTCTGCTGGAAAGTTATTGTCTATTTCTCTTGCAGTCTTGGCAAGTTCTTGGAACAATGTATAGTAAGAAAGTATTTTATTTCTAGAAGCATGAGCAGTGAAAAATATATTGGGGTCATATTGTGGCAAACATTGAGTTTAAATAATGAGATTCATGCATATTTAACTATTTGGAAAAATTTTATTCTAAAAATAGATGATTAAATATTTTATTAGAAACTCTTATAGAAACAGGTTTATCACTTTAAAGCAATTAAAGTTGGGATTTTTTCCAACTTCAGTTGGTCTTTCTAGTTCACAGCAATGGCAATATTTTCATTTATGAGATGCTCCCTTATTTAATGAAATCCGTGACACAAGTAAAGATGTAAAACCCATAACATATCTCTAATGAAAGGTAGACAATATTTATTTTTAAAGCAGGCAGTTCTTTAGCTCATGTTTGGAATATCCCAGTCCACTTTAAAGATGTTCTTAAAATGATAAAATGGTGTCAATGGATTAGAGATGAAAATTGATTCATTAAAAATGTATAAAGAGTATGCAGGACTCCCAAAAAATGTACTTGAAAGGAAAGACATTAGATTTTCTTTGTTGTAGATATATATATATATATATAAACATAGAGTTTATGATCCAGGTGATATAGTCCTGTAATAATCATTTGGTACTTTTTAGAATTATATTTTAATGTAGGTAAGTAACTTGAGATACGAGACTTAGAAATTGGGATCATTTAAAATCTGGAAATGATAAAGATTAAATGTTAAACTTAAATATCAATGGAAAATTAAAGTTAAGAAAAACTTACTAGGTTATTGTCTAAAAGGTGGAATGTCAAATTAATTAAGATACGAATAGACTGAAGATTATTGATGAATATTAGAAAGGTACTTTTTGTTTTATTGATAGAATAAGAACTGTATTGGTTCAAAAATGACAGTAGATATTATGGGGGAAAGAGAGGGAATTAGTTGTTGTAATACTTTGAGATTTGTACTGATGATATTCAAATGTAATGGAATTACTATGCTCAGCCACCATGCCACTTTTCAAATATGTAAATGTAATATTGTAAAATTAATAAAAAACTTGGGGAGAAAAAACTTTATGGGCAAACATTTAAATATCAAAAAACTAATGTAATGTTGAAAAAAGAGTTCCACACATCTGCTCAAAGATTGTGGGACAACATCCAGTGCTACTGTTTTAATTCCTAGGGATGGCAATTCAATAGCTTCCTTCTTCAAGTTGTCTCCCTAACCCAGGGGTAGGCAACCTTGGCTCTTTTATGACTCATCCACGAGTCATAAAAGAGCCAAGGTTACCTACCCCTGTCCTAACCAATTAAGCTTAGCTCCAATATATGGTAGTAATGTCTGCATAGTGCCACTACTTTTATTAAATAATGTTACTATTCACTTTTCATCTCATAGGAATTTCAAGTGGGAAATACAATGTCTGACAATAGCAAGATGAGCATCAATCTCCTCCTGCTTGGAAGAACACAAAGTGGGAAAAGTGCAGCAGGAAACACTCTTCTGGGAAGCACAGACTTTGCCAGTTTTCTTTCCCCATGCTCTGTGACTACAGCCTGTCACCTAGGTCGCAGCTGTAACATTTCAGGTTTTGGCCGTCAGCAAGGAAGAGCACTAACTGTGCAAGTCCGTGTCCTGGACACTCCTGGATATCCTCACAGCAGCCTGAGCAAAGAGCAGATCCAGAAAGACATAAAAGATGGTCTAGCCCAGCACTTTGGAGAGGAAGGTCTGCACTTGGCACTTTTGATTCTGAGAGCTGATGTTGTACTATGTGAAGAAGAGGAAATTTCCACCATACAACTGATTGAGGTAATGTCCATGATAAATAACACTGCTATATATATTGCCCCGTCACCAGGGTTTAATGCTCAGATAACATAACATCAAACTACAATAGAAATTGCACATTAGAATATTGGACTGGGAATTAAAGTAAAATGTTATGAATTTTAAAAAATAAGATATGTGTGTGTGAATTCATCCAAATCCAGTTCTTACCTATATATGGTGATAGGGTTAGGGTAGAGATTTTAATACAGATTTTAATAAAGGCAAGCAGATTACAACTGGATTCTAAGGACTAAATTCTAACATAGAATATGGCCTGATAGAAATGTGAAAGGTGTATTGATACACTTACTATGATTTTCAATTTGACCATAGGACAGCATGTTCTTTCCTATAAAGTTCAATATATGGCTTGTCCAATATATATGTCTTGTTTAGGTAATTGTTAAGTGATCTTTAGTTGAATCTGACTTTTCATGAAAAGGTTTAGATAGAATCACATATAATTACTTGGATTGTCATTTATACCTATCAGCTATGATACCTCCCAAAATCCCCTTTAAAAAGGTTGGGATTTTCCAACCATAAGAGACAGGAGGTAGGAAAATTCCATTGCATATCAAAGCCAATGTTTGGCTTATATCCTGAAAAAGATAAAATCATGTATGTAAAATAATTGTTAATTATTAATTAAACCAATGTCCCATTTTTTACCTTTACAGGAACTCCTTGGGCCTAATTGGAAGACTTACACAGTCATTTTATTTACTCATGCAGACCAGATTGAAAAGTCATCATTTACTATAGACAAATATTTGCATAGTGCCTCAGACACACTACATAAAGTAATGCAATTAGTTCAGCAAAAATGCATTTTTATTGACAATCATGCCAGATTTCTAAAACATGAAAACCTAAAAGCTTTAAGAAAAATTATGGAGTTTCTAAAACAAAACAATTTCCAGACCCTTCATGTGAAATAAACAATGCTATACATTTAAATAACTTATAATTTCCAAATTCTGAATTCTTTGCTGCTTTTATAATTCACTCTTTTGGGGGCATGATGGCTCAACAGTTAAAGATGCTGAGTTTGTCAGCTGGAAGGCTGACCTCCAGGGTTTGAGATCCAAGCGTCGCACAATGGAGTGAGCTCCCGATTCCTGCTGCAGTTCCTGTTCACCTAGCAGTTCAAAAGCATGTGAGTAGTTTAATAGGTACCATTTCAGTGGGAAGATAACAGTGTTCCGTGTACCTTTGGCATATAGCCATGATGGACACATGACCACGGAAATATCTTCGGACAACACTGGCTTTCTCTGCCAAGAAATGGAGATAAGCACTCACCTTAGAATTGGACATGACTGGATAGAAAAACCTTTACTTTTGAAGTATTTTTAAAATTCTTTAGGCAGACATTTTACATTTCTATTACTGAATATAACTAGAATGAAGAACAAAATTGAAACTATCCTTAAGAGTTAATACAGTTAGCTAAAGAGATAGTGTTTAATATTTTGATTATTAAATTATGGCAGACTGAAAAAAAGTTTGGTTCCTGCTATCAGCTTTTTTTCCCAGTTCTGTTGCTCAATCTTATCATGATTACATTTTAGCAGTAAGAAAAGGTATTTAATTTAAACTTTTAAATTTTAAATGCTGCATAAAATAATTCACAATCATGCATAATAATGCCAATATGCCATCCACTCAACAACAATCACCGAATTCACCAAAGCATTTAAGAAGAAAAGGAGATTAGAAACAAACATATTTGGGATACATAGTTATTTTTTCAGATTCAATTTCCACAGTATCAGATTGCAGTATACTATTGAAAACTACTTATTTTGCTTATTTTCACCAAGTATATCCAGGATCAAGTATAAATTTCATATACTCAATTCTCAAGGTGGTTTTAAAATACCTATACTTTGTGTACTAGGCCTATATTTCCAGAAAATAATATATTTTCAATACATTAAAAATATTTTAATATTAGCTAATACTGATGCATTGATAACATCACACTAGATATAAAATATACACCTTGATCTCCTTTATTTCTGAACTACCAGTTTGTGCTGATGCTGATTAATGAAACTTGCCTTGTTTGTTTAGTACTACTACAAGAATGTTTTTGGGAACAGTAGAGAGGGTGTTTCACTTCAAGCCTGTGTAGCTTATTTGGCAAATATGATGGAATCAATATCTGCCTTTTATGTAACTCAGATAGAATCCAGTAAGGAGCTCGGGAATTCATGAGAAAATAAATTGTAACCTACAGCCGTTTTAGAAACTTTAAGGAATGTTTCCTTCTATTTTGAAGAAGGCATTGGTGCACCTCACTTGAAAATACTGTATCTCTTGATCCAACCACATTGTACAACTTCTGTTCAGATTCCAATCTCTACTTTTAAATGAAAACTTTATAGAATGTGGGAGGTTAGTTGCAGAGAGCCCTTGGAATGAAATGCATTACTTTGATAGCTTTTAATCTACTTCCAAGCCTGGTGTGGGACTGAAACTGAATTGTTCACCTTGATGGATAACTTTGGTTGGACTAAATAGTCCTTCTGGTCATATCAGATCTGTCAGTTGCATTCAGTAACACTGTATCCTAGAGTTCCTGTGAGGGTTGTGGTTCCATGCAGCAACACTGTGAGATGCGCCATCAAACGTGGGCTGGCACAAGATTCAACTATGCTAGTTGAACCACACTATTTTCATATATGTATGAAACTGGCGGCAGAGATAATCCTTAGTTCATGAAGAGGTATTGTCATTATACCCAACTACATTTAACCTTTGGAAGCCAAGCAGGAAACACACTGGACATTCAGTCAGAATGTGGAAACTATGAGGGAGGAGTAAAGATGAAATAGACTGAAATTTGAACACCCAAAAAGAAGAGTCACTAAGTCACAGTAAGCATCTGATTCAATATCAGTTCCTACTCTGAATCTTCATAAGGCGTGTTATGAATACAATTCAAAGTTCTGGTTTTCTTCTACAAACCCTCTATTGAGATCAAGTTGAGATTGTTTTCACAAATAGTATCTACTTGCCTTGTGTCTTCAGTATGGAAGGAGATGCTTCAGAGCCCTCCTGCTCAATAGGTAAGGACTGAGAGTGGAGATAAAGCTTGTGGGCAGAATAACCAACCTTTAGATGACTGAATAGTGTTCCTATTTTGTTAGTTTTTAAGAAGGCACCAAAAATGAAATATTCTTTACATGCATATGGAGTTAAAGTGCTATCTCACAGAGCTGCTATTAAAGTGGTTTTCAATTTTAATGTTCAGTAACTTTTTAGTACATTTCCCTTTCAGTGGTTTAAATGGATTTTAATGATAGACAACATATTCTATCTATTTCTCTATAATTCTTTTCACAGGGCACCCAATCATGAAATTCATCTATTATTTATACAGTTTCCGTTTTTTCTCTGGACCATTTTTCTGAGCTATGTATTGTTACAATCATTTGAACTAGAGTATTAATATATTACTGTAATAAATTTCACTACAACCTGACAATTACTTAATTTTCATCCATTAGCAACATTTGAGTTTGGGAGGGAGGGATCCTAGTTCCAAACTAGTTTCCAACCCCGCTTATAGATACCACAAAATGAACTGATGGGTATGGGCATGCATACATTCTCTACCATTTATCTGTGGCCCTAATTTTTTTTTTTTTCAGTTTTATACAGGAATGAAAGTTTGTATTTTTGGTATATGTTTTCCTCAAGCCTGACTCTATAACTCATAGATTTGCTCAGTTTTCTCACCACAGTACAGAAGTTGTTTGTCATTCCCTTCTTTCAGAAACTTTCTTCAACTTCCTTATCTGGTGTCTATCTTTGGTAATCCCTGTGTCCTATATTCAAATACTAACCAGGTCGACTATCATTAAAAATTTTAAGATCAGCCAAGGTCATCTGTAAGGTTGTAATAAATTGAATGAGACATGGTTTTCAGCAAGGCAATATTTATTATGTTCATGTTTTTTCCCTTCAAAATTATCTCAAACATTTCCATATTTGCTTTTATTTATTTGATCCCACTGTTGGCCATGGAAGGAGCCCTGCACACACCTTTCCCTTTCACTTCAAACGGCACTCCTTTGTATGTAGCAATACACTGCTCGTTGGTCTGAAGATCAGGTTGGATCTGCTCCCATATTTTCTTCTTGGGATTAAGTTCTTTCTCAGGTTCACCTTTTTAAAAAAGAAAAAGGGAAGGTAAGAAAGTGAAACTAGAAATTTGAATTATCATAGTCTTTCATAACATAATGGAAGTTATTTACATCAGCAGTCCCCAACCTTTTTGGCTTGGCAGCCAGGCAGGGAGGAGCACACAGCACAACTTGCACAAATTGAGCTGCATGCATGGTGACCTGCCATTTGTGTGGCCCACTTGTGAATATGCCACAGCCCAGTAGGATTATGCAGTGGACAAAGTTCAGAAAAGATATTTGTTTGTTTATTCATCCATCCATCACGATTTCTTGTAAAACCTTAGAAAGGTTGGACTTAAATTAATAATATGAGTTGAAGAAAAGACAAAACATTGTGAACTTTGCCTCCTCATCATTCCTCTTTATGACTAATTATTACAAATACCTGAAGAAAGATTAACCACAGTTAAAACTGATTTGGCTTCTAGCCAATATATAATGGTTTAAAGCTGATTTCAAATTCTAGCCAGCAGCAATGAATGGTATCTGTAAAAATTAATAATCAACCCACTTAGGTCTGGCAAACTAATTTAAAATCATATTCAAAGAGTATCTACAATATGAGGTACGTTGTTTTGGGTTTGTTTTATCTCATCTTTAAAAATCACTCAAGTATGTTCAACATGATTAAGAATAAAATAATACAGCCTTCCCATGTAACCTAAAGTTATGGGGTAGTAAGAGTTATGCAATTTTATGTTGCAAATGATCCTGAGGTTACAGCGGTAGAATAATACAATGCCCAAGAGTAAGATTATGAAAACCATTTAAATGAGCTAGGTGTTCTGCTTCCCATCAGGAATATGAGAAACCATGCAGAGTAGCAGTAATGCTTTATTCCTTATTTCCTTAGTACAGGACTCACACAGCAATTAGTGAACGTACTATGAGCATAACTTCTAAAATAAGGAATTCATCTACCATCTGAAAGCTTTGTTATTGGAACTAAATCCAAACATTCTACACATTTGAATTTTATTCATAGCCCATTAGAACAAGAGACAATTCTCTCATCTGTCAGGTACTAGATGATATACTGTATAGGTTAACAGACAGAGAAATCATGATAGTACTTCCTCTTGCTGATTGCAAGAACAGATGGATATCAAAGGAAAACTAGCTCAAAGATCTACAAATATCTACACATGAATATTAATACTAGCAAGTACTAATATCTTTATAGCCATTATTTCATTTAGTAATAATAGTTATTGAAACTATTTAGAAGGCAGGAACAAATATGCTGCAATATGGGAGGAATATTATTTGTTTGATTTTTTTAAAAAAAAAAAACAAGCCTAATATTCTTCTGCAACCCTACCAATTTTATCTTGGTTATATATTAGATATTAGTGCATCTTTATACTGATCTACTCTGAAGTTTCATTAGAAATTTTAAAAAATGGCATGTTTTAAAGGTCAGAAAAGAAGCTAGTCTCAGAAATAGCCATATGGTCATGAAATTTGGATTAAAATGGTTTCTACTATACTATCTAGTGGCTTGAAATCAACTGTTCAGGTTTCTTTGTGGCCTGGGGACAAAAGAGAAATTTCAGTGCATAAGTCATAAATAATTAGTACTTTCTCAGACCAGCAGTTTATCTTTTAGAGAGAAAAAAAATAAGTAACTAAATGGCAATTAAAATGACATCTCCTCACAGTAAAATCTTTCAAATAAAATAAAAGCCTCTCTATGCAAAAGAAAATATAAATCAAACCAAAAGAGCAGGCAAGTCTTTAAAATGCAAACTTTACAAAACCGTATTTAGTTTTCAAGAATAAATTAAAATCTGGCTTTTATTACAGAACAACCTTCTGGATTCCATTAAAACTTGCTTTGGAATACCCAAGCAAACTCTCCTGGGATCTGTGGCAAGCTTGTATTAGATTAGCACAGGCACCACTTTTAAACATTACCAGAACACCATGGTGTATGCTCCATAAAACCCTCCCTTCTCATCCTTTTCTTTCAAGAGAAAACAAGCCTCTTGAAAGACATCTATAAGAAAAATTGAAGAAAATTCTTGGGAATATAAATGGTATTTTTTAAATGTAGCATTCAAAATACTGCTATTAACAAACATCAATCTATAATCATGCTGTGACTAAACTAAGCACTGAAAGCAAATCAGCACTGAACAAGCAAGAGGGATGCCTGCTTCAATGAAAGAATCATTAGCAAGAGCACTTTCCACCCAATATGGAATAATCTTTCTTCAGCATCTTATTAGAAAGACAAGTCTAAACAAAGTATTTCCAGTGATATAAATGCAGCAACAATAGGTTTTATTTAAATATAAAAGTTTATTATATTGCTAAGCAAATATTGCCACCTTTGCAAGAGATAATAAATAATAAGGTGGAGAAATAAAAAATATGCTATTTTTCAATCTTCAACATGTTGAAGTTTGTTATAAAATGCTGGTGCTTTTATTTCATAGCTACCAGATTTGTGAGCATTTATTTTTCTTTGGTGCTTTAGAGAGCACTGTCTTATTCTACAGCTAAGATATATAGTCTCCAAAGACGAAACTTATTAGAGGTAAGGTATAAATCCTTCATTTGAAACTATTAAAAATCCACAGTTGTTTCAGGTTTCCCATCACATAGGAATCTCATTCACAAATTCTGTATCTCTCATGACACAATTAATTAGTCATGGCAACCTATATCATGTATGTAATATAGTTTGCTAAGTTTGTGGCAAAGGAAGGAGGGACAAAGCATTTCTCTCTGCCTCCTATCTGTTTATGAAAAACTGACTTACAAACCGGACTTTTAAAAGACAATAAAATTTAACAAAAAAGAAAGCAACAATCCATCACACTAAAGCCACTATAAAAACATATCCAATTGCAATAGAACCATAATCATCTGCAAAAGGAAACTCACTAACCAGCAGCAGCTCGCAATGTTTTATTTAAAGAGAATGTTTTATTGAAGAAAAGCAGAAAAAAGGAACAATCTTATGCAAGTATTATGACATTTTCTATAACTTCCTGAAAATGTGATGAAAGTTTCTAGAATCTGAACAAGCATGATTTCAATGGTGATTATGACAAACTTGTTTGGGTGTGCAGTCCTGCACAATGTGGGAAGGCCCAAAATACCATGAAAAGCCTTCTTCAAATGGATTTATCAGTGACTTAATTAAGGATTGTTGCTATGCCTTTTGGAGATTGTGATTTAATTGTCTAGGATAATAAATATTCTAGTTATATACTAGCAAACTGTATTACCTTACTTGATACATACAATTCTACAAGATGTATGAAACTATTCCCCTACAGATATTGCTAACATTAAATAAATATACCATACTTTCCGGCGTATAAGACGACTTTCGAAAGCGTTGAAATCAGCGCCAAAGTCGGGGGCTGTCTTATATGCCGAGTCATCTTATATGCCGGAAATAACGGTAGTTTCTGGCATATAAGATGACTTTCTAGGCATGCGACTCGCGCCGAAGTCAGGGGTCTTATACGCCGGGTCGCCTTACACACCGGAAAATACTGTAAGTATGAAAATTTAGTTGCAAACTGAAAAAAATAGTGTTCTCAGTACAAAAGACTGAGGTCAAAGAAACAATAACATAGTGGATCATCATAATGTTATTTTTATATTTACATTTCCTACTTAAGCAAAGAGGAAAACACTGTATACAGGTCATAATGATACCTCTAAGGAACTCTTTTTTCCTCTCTACTCCATATGCTACATGATAGTAAAAGTAACTTTTGTGGCTATAAAATCTATTGGTTCAGGTTTTGATGTTATCTACACCAGACTTTTAAATCTGTCTTAAAATATAATTTTTCATTTTTATGGAATCCCAACTAATTATAACCAAACATGGCTTGCTTTCCTATACTTTTATCTCAAGCTCAAATTCAAAGTTAGTGCTACCACTTCTTTTCTGTTAAGAAACTTGCAGAACTGCCTCAAGAGACTATGCCTTAATAAAATTCTATTAGCACTCTTGTCCAGCTGTATATTTTCATTCTTCCTTTATATTAGCCAAGTTATATAATGGTTTTGATGGCATTGTACCAATTATAAAGTATACAATGTGCAGACTTCTATATTTTATCACAAAAAAATAGGAAAACCTAATTTTATAATACTAAGCCTGCATTTTAGCGTTTTCCCCATTCCACTTATGTGATTTCCCTAAAGTTAATTCCAGAATATGTTACAAACTTTGTCTCATTTTAAAACTTAAAAAAAACCAATAATCTAATCTTATCAGAGGAAATATATTATTTTTTCACTTTCCATTTCATATCATACTGAAAAATAACACATACAATACCTCATTGATAATTCCAAAGTGGTTCTGCCACCTGTATTCTCCTTTTTGATTCTCCATTAAAGAATTTTTATTTAATCTAGGATAATATCAAAATTTCCCATGTTTGCCTATACAAGTAGTTTTCAACGTAGGACCACAACTGAACCCAAACTTTTTGTTGCTAAGTAAGTCATTTATTAAATGAGTTTGACCCATTTTACGAACCTTCTTCCCAGAGTTGTTAAGTGAATCACTGCAATTGTTAAGTTAGTAACATTGTTCTTAAGTGAATCTGACTTCCCCCATTGACGTTGCTTGACAGAAGGTCACAAAAGGTGATCATATGACCCTCAAGACACAACCGTTATAAATCTGGGCTAGTTGCTAAGCAATCGAATTTTGATCACGTGACCATGGGGATGCTGCAGTGCTTATAAGAGTAAAAAACAGTCTTAAGTCACTTTTTTCTCTGCCGTTGTAACTTCAAATGGTCAATAAATGAATATCTGTATCCAATAGAGAAGCAATTATTTTTAAAAAGAAAAGTTATTTGAGAGAAACCACTTATTACTGAAATCATTTTTACTAGTTTTATCATCCTTAGAAACATATTCTATTCCCTATTTGAAGAGTGAGGGATTTTATATATGATCCACAATTTACATATTGGATTGCAGAAAGTATAGAACACCAAAGTTAAACACACACCTTTAGTAAGTAGATAAAAGAGAAGAGCAAAGGAACAATATTATTCAATACTAACCTCACAAAATACAAGATATGAAGTAGTGTGTGACTTTAGATATAGATAACTGGCAAAAATGTACTCCTTAAAACGTTCTTCTATAAGACATGCATATAACATAGTACACAACAGGAACTCTGTATTACTTCTCTCTTTCTCTGCCTCCTACTGAACACAGTTTTCATTCCTAAAATTTGATTTTCATTTTTGTTTAGAGTTTTTTTTTTCAGGCACAGATATACACACATTTAAAACTACATTACAAATTTTTTCATAATTCATATAAAAACATTCTCATCAATTTCTGTTCAATCTTCAAGACACTTCTGCTTACCTGAAAAACCTTCAAATGTAATTTTTTCTCCAGGAACAACTCTATTAGGAGGAATTATAATTTCCACCTTTTCTGGTGTGCTAGCACACATCAGCATGGCTTGGGACACCACTCCTCTCATTTTTACTGGTTTTAGGTTGCAGAGAAATATAGCCATCCGGTTTTGCATCTATAGAAGTGAAAAGAAAAAAGGTCCATTTACTGAGGTCTTTTCAGGTTTCTACCAAATGAAGTGGTAAGAAAATATTAATGCATGGAAAATGGGAGCAAAAAAATAAAATTTTCTTTCACTAATCCAGCAATACAATCAGGAAATATCTAATTAAGTTTAATGGTCCTCTAACATACAATAAGAAGCAATAAAAATATTAGCATTGTGTCTTGATGTTCTGGATGATAGTTGAAGCAGTATTTTATTTGCTTTCCATTCATAGTGATCAAAAGTCAATTTTTAACTGTTAAATTAAGAATTTTAAACTAATTAGAAAAAATATAACAAATATGTCCAGTTGATTGACCACTCAGTATATAATATGGAATGCATATTTACAAATCCCAAATGTCAGGATAGGACAAATGTTTGGAACAAATTGAATTAAAATGGTTACACATAATATCCCTTCCAAGACATTTATTTAAGCTCTAAAAGTTTCTGTTCCGACCCAAATATGAAGGGGAAAAAAGTAAAGTTTCTTTTGATATGACACCTGGTAACTCTATTTAGTAATATAGGTTTCTTGGAATTGCTATGGAAGCAGTTTGCCACTGACTTTTTTAGAACATGTTTTCAATTTCCCAACATAGCCTACAGTCCTTAATTTCTAGATGATCTCCATTCATAAATGGAGACCCAACACAAATTTCCAGCCCAAGCAAGGTACTGCCACCTGCTGAGACAACCTCTAGAGAAAAAGTATGTATTATTTGGCCAATTTTGCTTTTTAACTCTTTTTCTCAAATTCCTTTATATGTAGGCTTTTATTTTTGTCTCTTTTTTCCTTGAACATTTTAACCAATAAAAATGTACAGCAGTTTAGATCACATCCTTTTAAAGAAGGAACAATATTCCAGAAATGATCGTATTGGATTTATGTTGTTGGAGATTCTTCATTATATAAGAAAAGCCAAGCATGGTACATCATAAAGTGATGGTGTGCTTAATATTAATTAAAGCATGTTTCACATTAGACAACGATCACAACAGAAACTTGTGATAAATTAGAACAATAAGTAAAACAAATACCAGTAGAATGTTATGGAAAATACTTTCTTTTGATCCATGGATATTAAGAATAATTTGCTCGGCATATTATAAGGTGGGGTTCTGACTGTATAACATAAATTCAGATACAATGGATGTTATGTGAACAATAAAGGCCAAGATCACGGTTAATTTTCTTTACTGTTGGCATAGAAATACAAACCTTTTCTAACTGTAATTGAGCAATGTGGGTTTTGGAACATTTCTGAAAATACAAAGTGGACTACTAAAGACAACTTTTGCTACTGAGGAAGAAATGCAAAATCTTACCTACAAGCCTTACCAATCTCTGCACCTATAAATGTCTAGAAGAATAGGAAATCAATATTAGCCTTTCTGAGTATGCTGCGTAGATCTCAGAGGACTACTTGAATCTTCAAACTAGTAGATTTTTTGAGATAGTGAAACTTTTGATATCTTTTTAATGGCTTTCTTAAGTAAACCACTAAGTCTTAAGTTCACGATTTTGAGATTTAAGCACACTATAAGCAATATACATAAATGATGAACAACAATAAATTAAAAAGTTGCTAAAGCTTCAAATAATACATCAGAGATATTTCATTTATACCTCTTCTAATGGAACATGTTTCACCAGACCACTGACAACAGTTCTTAAATTTGCTTCTCCAACATCAACTTCCTCAATATAAAGACTATCAGCATCTGGGTGTTTTTTTGCCGTCATAATACAACCAATACGAAGATCAAGCCGCGAAACATCTAAAGGCTTTGAATCATCATTTGCAGCTGACTGCTTTTTTTCTTTCTTTTCTCCTACAAAAAGGAAGGAAACCAAATTAATAAAACCACTGATGCAATTCAGTTCACAACACTACCTATTTTTTCTTTTCTCTTTACAAAAACTCCCTTATGTAAAGTATTAAGAACACTTTCATGACATCAAGACCAAAAATATTACAATTATATCAACAAATATAACAAAAAGCATAGTTGTAAAAACATAGTATTATTTACTCTAACAATAAACATGGCATCAAAAATAAATCATTGTTCCTGTTTATCCAGTAATCCCTACAATTTCCAAAGCATAGTTGTAAACAAAAAGGATGAAAAATCTTAAAACTGGCAAAACAAAGTCCAATTTCCATTTACAGAATGAGGATAGTTCCAAGCCTGAAAGCAGTTGAAAGAAAAGCAAAGGGTATTAATATGTAAAGTTGAGTTATAAAATGAGCCTGCCTAAGCTATATAATTTATAGCAGCCTTCTATGAACATACAATATATTGAATCTAAAATTACCTTTCTTTTCTGTTTTGTCTTTCTTCTTCTTTTCTTCACTGGGTCCTTTGATCTGTTCCTTAGGACCAGATAGAGCTTCGGCAGATGATGTTTGAGAGAAATCCTTCGAAAATGAAACTGCAGCAGCCATGTCACTAGGTGGCATAGATATTTGTTTCACTAAAATTAAATACAAAAGATTCCCAATTAATTAACATCTTGATTCTGATATTTAAATGTATTTTGTGAAATCTAGTGGAATACAAGTATTGTTAAATGAAAAATGTTTTCTTCCACGTTTCCAAGCACATGCTTATATTTATATGCGTTACATTTTAAGCCTTCTGAATTTTTTTATATCATAACAATTAATGGTAAAGAAAAATAGATTGCAGCAAACCTATTTGCTACTTGTTATTAATCATAATCAAAACTAAGACAAACTAAAATGTGAAGTCATTGATTTTCATCTGGATATTTTAATCCTGATTTTTTTAGTGGGATTGATTACAAGGAGTTAATAATACAGTTGATACATAACCATATATAAAATAGAACCAAAGGATAGAAGTTATAAACTGCATATGTTTATGGATATCTAATGTATTGTAGGAAAAATATTGGACCTGATCAAAAGCACAAACAGAATATTATGTAACATAAAATGCTCAATGAATTAACCTGAGCCTCATCTAACTAAATATTTTTCAAACTAAAAGAATAAATAGTGGATATGAAAATAATTTTCATCTTATTGAGGAAATTAATGCTTAATTAATGTTTAATTAATGCTATCTAAACTATCTCTATTTGTGACTATTGAACGCTTTTATTAATCAATGACTTCCTTGAAAGGGGTGAAGGTTTGTATATTTCCACCTTTCACTTGTAAGTCTTCCTCTTTCAGGCTTCCAATGGATAAAAAAACCAAAAATAAAGCAATAACTTAGCAAGGTCAATAAATTAGGTGCCTAAGGTGTAAAAACAATTTTAAAATTAGGACAACTGCAAATACAAATCAAACACATTAACCCTACGTTCTCTCCAATTCATAAGACTTTTCAACATTTTCAATCCTTCTCTGTAAGTGAAGTTGTATCACTTGGTCTTTAAAAACAAACAAAACATTCAAATAGTTCAAGTTTTTCCATATATCTTGTTTCTGGGATACTTTAATAAAAGCTATTTCTTAACCTTCACTAGAATCTCTTTTACAACATTCTTGGGAAAAGCAGCATAGACAATGGGGTAGCAAGTATCTTTCCTTTTCCTCACTTCTCTTGTTTTTTCCTTCTCATTCATATCACGTTAAGCAAAAGAAATGCAATTCTGCCCCTTAAGTGCCCCTTTTAATGTTTTTAATATTGACTCTAGAAAAAATATAAACATTACTATAAATGTGGTGTGCTTGCATAAAACAACACATTTCTCACCTCCATTTCGAATTTCTGCTTGGATCAATTCCTGTTTTAGCACTTCAATTTCTTTCTTAAGTTTAGCATTTTCAACACGCAGTTTCTTCTCTTCCCTTAGAGATGCCTGCAAGACTGTAAGAGGCCGAACTCTCATTAGAATCACTGTTCAATTGTCAAAAATGGTTAAGTTTCATTGCTAGATGCTATAAACGAGCAACAGAACACTTGTTTTGAAAACTTCAAGACAATGGAGAAATCTCATAATTACTTATACCTTGTGTACTTTGACTAAACATTTATATTAAAATACAGAATTACACTGAATACATTTACAGTTATGAAAGTTCCCTGAATCATTTATGAAACTATTATGAGTGCTCAAATATCTGATTTGAAAAGTGTCATGATATAAAAACAAACAGACCTAAGCAAATGTCATGATAATGGGAAAAGCATCAACAAGCAATCAAAGAGTTCCATGTTATTTCCATTAATATTGTGGAACAAGGAGCAGGTATCTTATAGAGAGATCCTATGGAATGCTTGTATCAACACTCACTTCAGCTTTTGTAAATATTAAAACAGATATTTTACCGCCCGGTATTGTTATTAAAAACCTGCAGTAATACCGCCTGAACGCTGTGTTTTCCAATTAAATCCATAACATATACAAAAGGGACACTTTATTCAATTCACACTTCTTCCCTCTTTTCCTTGGCATATATTCTAAGAAATGAATTTTGGTTCTGGTGGGAATACAAGCTGGAACCATGTTATATGCCTATTCCAATGGAATGCATAGCTAAACAGTTTATTGTTTAAATGTTCTATATCAAGAAACCAGGAGTGGAAAAAAGATGACAGATTCTGGAGATATTATCTCAGAACTATGTGAAACTGTTGAAAAGTTTCATTTCATATTGTAAGTAGAAACCTTGTTTATTGACTCTAGGCCATAAAATCTCTTTAGAACATAAAAAGGACAAAGCTTTAGTATACATGCATTAAATACAAAGCTTAAAATCCTGAATTATAGAATAAAAAAATTCTCCATTATTACAATCATAATATATGTATTGTTGAACATACAATTTTGTTTTTATTTTACAAAAGGTTCAGAGTAGTCAGACATGTAACTTTTTTAAAAAAATCAAATAAATGGGAGATCCTAATGAGGAAGATGAAAAAGCTAATCCCCTTCTTTAGGAACTCGTAAACTGCAATGAAGAAAAAATGGAGAACAGCAGATAAAGAAAATTCAAAATATACACAAGAAAACTAAGTGGAGGCCTGCAAATAAAAAAGTTAGGAAAAGGATGCAGATTTTTTTTCAAATGCTTTTCCAGCAATGGCCATAGAAAGTTGTCTGCATTTTCTTCTGTGTAACCAACTTTGTAGTTTCAGTATCTGTCTCTGAGTGTATTTCTGTTCTTTCCCGTGTTGCATGCATGTGTATATACTGGGAAGCACAGAATGAGCTGCTAATCTCCATTCTGAGGTTATATATATCGAGGAGTGGAGAGAGGCAGCTCAGAGTGGAAAAGCACAATTTTTCCAAGCTCCTGCTCAATAGCCTCTCCCACAGGAAAACAGTGGGGGGGGGGGTTGAAGGAAGGGGAAAATATTTTTCTCAGCTGTCTCTGGTTGGCTCTTCCATTTGCCTAGCTAAATGTTCAATATTCAGAGAGTTATCTGTTGACAATACCTTTATATAATTTATTTCCAACATTCCATCAAGTTAAAGAAAAAGTAAACAGAAACGAGGCCAAGTCACAAAGGAACAGTGAACAAATAGTGACATGAAAACTCATAATAAGTTGAGGTTAGTGAAGAAGAATATTCATATCAAGAATATGAAAATGAGCTAAATACATTCAAAAGTAAAGAAAAAGAATATATACCAGCTACTCAGTGAACAGAGCAAAATGTTGACAGGCAACCTGGACAAGGCAAAGTTTTTCAAACAGTTCAGGCTGGTTTAACAAAAATATGTATCTGAAGAGACAGGATTGAAGTTTTAAATCAATGGATACATAATTACAGAATATGTATTTGGTCTGAATGTGTTTCACTTTAGGATCAGATGAAGATTCTAGGATACTAAAGGAACTAACTGAGCATCTCACCAAATCCTTAGGAAAAATTGGGAAACTGATGAGTGTCAGATTGGAGGAGAGTGAATGTTGTCCCATCATAAATAAAAGAAAATCAGCAAACTACAAATCAGTCAGTCTAGATCATATAAGGTTATTGAAAACAATGTAATAATTAAGGAAGCTAATATAGATTTGTCAAGAACAAGTAATAGACTAAACTTATCACACATTTGACTAGGTAATTTCCTTAAGATTGTACAAATACTGTAGATGCTTTCTGTAATAATTAAGGTGCTGGACTAGAAACCAGGAACCTGTGAGCTCTAGGCCTCCCTTAGATATATAATAGTTTGTATATAGTTAACAAAATAATAGTATCCTGATTAGAAAACTAATTCTAATTGTGGATTGGACGGCAGTTCTTTTCTTAGGGACATAAGATCAAATGCATCATTACTGGGGACATCTGATTTCGTGATGGTAGTTGGTTTTAAAAAAAAATCCTTGTTAAAGCAGTTGGGTGCAACCCAAGTTGGAACCAGGAACGTGATGTGGCTGCCAAAAAGTCAAATGTAATTTAAGGCTGCATCAAGAGAAAGATAATTTCTGATTCAAAGAATGTAATGATTCCACTTAATTCTGCATTAATCTAATTCCTGCCACAACAGGTTTAAGCATTATTTACAGAAATTGGAATAACAGAGAAAGGCAACAAAGATGCCTAAGATACTATACGTCTATACAGACAGATTGAAGAAGTTAAGTGTGTTTAGCATTGAGCTAAAAATAAGTGAGGTATAATATGATAGCATTATTTAAAGATCACTAAGTGTGTCACATAGAAGGTCAAGACCTCTTCTCTCTTGTTTCAGAATACATGACATGGAAGAATAGATATAGGCTACAGGAAAGCAGATTGTGATTGAATGTTAGAAAAGAATTCATAGCAGCAAAGGCAGTTCAACAGAAAGACTGCAAGTTCACCATTTGATATAGTAAAGTGGCAACTATCTGTTTAGTATACTATAATTTGGTTTACTGCACTAAATAGGAATGAGTGGGACTGAATAACATAAATCATCCTTTCAACTCTATGATTCTACTGAGATAAAACCATTCAGTTTCTTTAAAAGACCACTGCCAAATATACCCCTTGGGGAGGTGGGAAATTATGTGTTATTTTAGTCTTTTATAGGAAAGCTGTTTTACCTGAAATAATTTTTAAAAATGGTTTAGATTTTACTCACTGATTTAGAATGGATAATTAACAATCTATTTTAATGTTATGCCTTACTAGCTTTTTCTTTCAGAAGAGCAACTTGCTGCTTAAGGTATTCAATAATTTGATCTGCTTCAGCACCCTTCTGCTCCAGTCTATTCAAAACTGCATTGTTGGCTGCCATTTTCATCAAGGATCGGATTAAAATCCTAGATAAAAGAAACAAGATAATATGAACATGTTATCAATGCAATTATTTCCAACATTGTTTTGAATAGATTGAACTAGTAATAAAACATATTCACTTTATTCCCTAGAACTCAAAAGTTCACATTAACTTGTCACACTGACTTTGCTACATATATAGTCTTTACTTTTACTGTATTTACTTTTTTAGTTATAAAAAGGTCACTTTGCCTATCAACTGTAATAACCTTGCTTTTTCTATGTATAACAATATACATTCCACTTTTAAAGACGTAAAAGAAAAACTGAACCAACTGAACTCAAGCACTTATAAGATGGATAATTTTCCTTGTGAACTTTGTGTTTTGTGGCAAGTATTTTCTAAACTGTAAACCTCTTTGAGATCTGAATCCTAGTATTAATCGTAATTAATAATTCATTATATCTTAGAATAAAGAAAGTAGCTATTAGTAAAGCTACACATATGCACACTTCCACAGGCCAATTTCTCTTACCAGTTCTTTTTGGAATATTCTATCAAATTCATCCTCTGAAATCAAATATTACCTTTTTACTAATTTTCACTGATCATACTGAGTAAATACCTGACTACAAACTTCTGGTGGAGTAAACAATAGCAAGAAAGACAGATAAATAAGGATTGCTTCTTTTCTAACAATTGTTTTACTACAGTTTCTTCTATTCCAGACTTTTACACCATGGTTTATTTCTGGATATATTTCCAAATCATAACATCTAAAACATTCAGGTTAAGGAAGGCCATTATACAATGTCTTCTTATGTTATGCCTGATCCAAGACCACTATGCTTCTGTTGGTTTTCATCTAACATAGGACTATAACTTTTCTTCCTTCCATAATGTATCTTTCCAGTTAGTCTCATCATAAAACAATCAAGACACAGATCCAAAGATACAACTACTGTTAGGTGTTTTATTTCCATCTTCATAGTTTCTCTATTGCAGTACATATTTAGAATCCACAATTTTATAATTTATTAATTTAACTCTAAATTCAAACTCAGAGTAGCAAATATGTCTATAAACTGTTATCTTTTTATTTATTAGGTTATATGCTGCTTCAATTTAATCAGATTTTTTTTTACAATACCCATGAAATATTTGAATTCACATGGCTATCTGATCTGATTCCTCACTAAAGAATTAAGAGTTCTATATTTGACTGCAAAAATCTGTAGGACATATTACTACATTCACTATGAGCTCTGCCATTCCAATATCCACCTGTATGCCATTATACTTGTCCATGAATATGATTGGAAAATATCCAGGAATAGAGAACATCCAGCAATATATAACGTCAGCTAATATTACTATTTAATTAGACCTCGCTAAAACTAGGGAGTGGTTGATAGATTAACAACAGATCCACCTTTGCCCTCCTCCCCCATATCATACTCCTTCTCTCTCTCCCTCCTCTCTCCGTTTCCATCTTTTAACTGGGGTGCTATATTTGGATCTATACAGTATTTTATTTATGTCTTTTAGGTTTTGTATAATTTCCATCTTTTTAAGATTGTAAGCATCCAGTTACCCTGTGGTAAGATGGGTGGCCAATAAGTTTTATAAATAAATAAATAAAACTAGCAAGGAAATTTAATCATTTACCTAATTGTTTATATGGGCAATCATGAAAAAAATATGGAATGCTTATGTAGCCATTACATTTCTGCTACAAAACACTTGATTAATCCACTCCAAGGTATTAAAAATATACATTATTTCTTAATACTGTCTCTATCAGTTTAATTAGGATTAATTTAACTAATTTATCAATTTGTTCTGAGATCCTTTGAATGGATGCCAGATAATTTTCAATAAATATAAATCAATCAATTAACCTATGAGTAATTACAAGAACTTGTATCAGAATAAACAATAGGGACTGCATTTTTAATCATTAGGAAAGCTTCTTTGATCAACTAATACCGAACTCTTAGTCTAACATAGGCTGAAGATAGCATATTTTTATTATCTACAGGTCCATCCTAAGTTATTAGAATACAAAATTGAATTTACACTTTCACCCTGCATAAATACAACTTTTATTAACACACAGCTTGATATCAAGCATACTTAAGAAGCAAATCTCCTTGAAAGTGCCCAATACCTAGGTGACTTTACTAGGTTAATGAAAACTGCAGAAATATCTGAAAATGGCTGCCAGACTGAATTTAAAGATGCACTTCATTTCAATATTTTTGGCAAAGTTCCTAGGAATCAGGGACAATAAAATTCACAGAATTAGATTTTCAATTTACTTTAGATGAATGACTCTAAGTATAGATGTTACACACATATATATCATAGGAATCCTATAGCACAGGGGTAGTCAACCTTGGCTCTTTTATGACTCGTGGACTTCAATTCCCAGAATTCCTGAGCCAGCTTAGCTTGCTCAGGAATTCTGGGAGTTGAAGTCCACAAGTCATAAAAGAGTCAAGGTTGACTACCCCTGCTATAGCAGATGGCAAGCCCCTGGTTAATTCTGATCTCAACCAGAGCTGGATTTGGCTAGGACGTGGGTGGGAAATCACCAGGAAATCCTGGAACCATGAGAAGTCAATAAAACATCAAGATAACAATGGCAAACTATTTTCATATGATTGCCAAGAAAACAACATGAAAATGTCCTGGGAGTTCACTGGGGATCAAGTTTAATCTGAAAGACATTTTACTTTTTCGTTCAATCAACAGAAATGTATCTTTCTTTCTTTCTTTCTAAGTTTCTTTTGATAAACATCAATTTGGATTAGACGCAAGGCATAACAAATCCAGTATTCTGTGCAACATCCAAGATTCTGTGGACAGATTCCTGTTTTCTTTTATTTTCTCCTCAACACAGGTGTTCTAATTCGCTATAGGAAAGCATTTTTGGGATATTCCTATTATTTGAGACAACCCTCTGTTCCCTTTGAAATAAATCAGGTAACTATGGATAACCCATACGCAAGAAATAAGCAAACAGCAATTCTTATCCATATATACATTTAACACACTTAAACTGTCTAGCAACTGGTAACTATACAGATAAAAAATGTTTTCAACATCAGGATTGGACTTAGACAAAGGTTCAATAGAAAGAATTTTCATAAAGTGACCTACAGCTGCATGTTAGCTCCAGGGTCTTTGGGGAGCTGCAGGCTATAGAAAGCATAAAACACTGGCAAAGATCCATTCAGCAGAATGAGCTTTCTGTAAATAGAATTCTCTTTACTACCTCTCTAAATCCAAACATTCACATCTAAAACTTTTTAATCTTATTACAAAACTAAAGGTAGTTACTATCCCTCTGCAGATTGTCTATGCAAAAGGAAGACATATAGTGTTCCACAAAAATATTTCACTAAACATTTAATAGCTCTGGCACTCTCTATGGCTCTGGCACAAATTCAAATTTCTTAACCATTGCCTGGACTTTGCTTCTGGCCTTCTATATTTCAAACAAGTTGCAAATTATCAACTGTTGACCAGATGGAAGTTGGTGTGTGAGGGAACCAGAAAAAAAAATCTTATTCAACCAAGATTCACTGAAAAATCTTACACCTGACAAAATTATCACATTGATTTAGAACAGTGGTGGCGAACCTATGGCACGGGTGGCAGAGGCGGCACTCGGAGCCCTCTCTGTGGGCACACATGCCGTTGCCCCAGCCTTGCCTCCCCCAGCGACCCTCTCCTCTCCAGCAGCCCCCCTGAAGGAGACTCGCCCTCGAGCGTGGCCCACACGGAACAGCGCAGCCAAGGACATGGCAGCCAGGTAGCGTAGTCAAGACTCTGCCCTCACGCCCCATCATGCAGTTGATGCTGCAGGGTGTGGGCAGACGGTGTGGCCACCATAGCGCTGCTGGGCTGCCTGGGCAATCTGCGGTGGGCCCTGGAGGCGGTGAGTGGTCCTGTGGGCAGGTGGACGGGGGATGGGGGGCAGAGCAGGGGCGGGAACGGGGGTAGAGCGGGGCGGGGCCAGTTTTTGGGCACTCGGTGTCTAAAAGGTTCGCCATTACTGATTTAGAAGATCAAATTTCAATTTAACAGTTATTTTCAATTTGAAACAAATAGTTGGGAAGAAACTTTAGCAGGTTTCTGAAGTCAAAATATGCTGTCTTATGTGTACATAAGGAAAACATTTAAAAAAAATTATAGGGAAACTTCCATTATTGTACTGTACTACATCTGAAATATTTTTATGCTACTCTTCTATTACATTTTAAAGAGTTTTAAATTGAATCATTAACCTATGATTTACAATTGAATAAATGCATAACATGTATCATAGAAGCTGTGAGGGCTTCAACAGTAATATATAAAATGTATTAAAATATACACTTAACTGTGTTTATTTTAAATTAAATAAAATGGTTATTTTAGATCATTTATGAACTTATATCCACTTCTTCTGCAAGTCTAAGAAAACTATATAAGAATAAAAGTAAAATAAAGCACCAAATAGGAGAGCCAATATGCATATTAAGATTAATTAATTTAGTGTAAGATGGCCTAGATTTAAATCTTTAAATCTTTGGAATAATATTTTAGTGCTTTTTAATCAAATCTGCTTTAAGACAATTCATTTTAGTTTTGTCCTGTAGCAAAGAATAAACCTATAAAATTAAAATATCTACAGAAGTAAACTGATTAGCTTCTATAATATGGATTCTTACAAAAGTTGTAAAAATATACTTATACTTAATTTTATAAACATATTAAGAAAGACCTAAAGTTACAGTTAAATTATTATTACACTGGAGCTAAATGATGTTTTAGAACAGTGGTTCTCAACCTGTGGGTCGGGACCCCATTTGGGGTCGAACGACCATTTCACGGGGGTCGCCAAACAATGCAGTCTGCCATTTTCCCCCCCTTTTCCTTAGCTGTGCTACTCCCTTTTATTCTATTGGCTTTTGAAAGCCAATAGAATAGACTCTCTTGAATAGAGTCTAATTCTATTGGCTTTCAAAAGCCAATAGGAATTGTCCAGGCTGTCTCTGCCCTGCTGAGCCCGCCAAAAGTCCCATTCTGCAAACGGTGCTGCACCAGTTGAGTAGTCCTCGACTTACGACCGGTTGAGTAGTCCTCGACTTACGACCGGTTGGGGGTCGCGGCATTAAAAAGGTTGAGAACCACTGTTTTAGAATTTCATTAATATTACAATATGATTAATGTGAATAAGATTCCAAAGATTTACTGCAATTTAGAACAGAAATATCCCTTTCATCCCTAAATCCAAAGAAATTAAATAAATAAATAAACAGGTACACATTATTTCTAAATGTAAAAGAGGAAATTATGTTGAAAAATCACACTCTAAAATCAAAGGACAATCTTACAAAATAAAACTTCAATAAACCAATAAATCAGGGAAAATAATGAGAAAATATTTTTTCAGTAAATGAAAAAAAAAATCCCATAGAAACCCTCAGTTTACAGAAACAAAGTTTAGTGATACTGAATATGCAGCAAAAGTATGTTCTATTTTTTTTCTGTTTGTTGAAAGAAAGTATGGTTAAATATTTTCTGACACACAACAGACTTTTTGTAGATTATTCCCTGGTTTAATGACTAGTTTAAAATAAAACAGTCTAGGTAAAACAAAAGGAACTTTGTTGCTTAATTTTCAAACAAAACAAACAAAACTTCTTAATTTAATGAGGGAAGATAATAATATTACTAATATTAGAAATGTTCTGCCTTTAATATTAGTAGAAAACAACCTCAGTAATCATCAGAGATATTCATTGTAACTTACACCTTTTCCAGGAATCAATGCAGCAGGGAAAAAAAATAGTATGACTCCTTTATAATTTTAATTTTTGAAGAGAAACAATAAAAAACAAAAGGATAAAGATGTTAGCCCTTGTAGATTTAACATACCTGTGAAAACTTATTTAAAAAAGCATTTCAATTTTTAAGTGGAAAAAATGCTTTACTAGCAAAGATCTTACTAAATTGTTTTACTAAATACTCTCACCCGAAAACATGCTTACCTAAAGAATATGAACTCAATAAAATTCAGGGAGAAAAGTTTTGCTTTTTATAGGATTGCCTTCTCACAAACATCGGGATGGGAAAAATCAAGGATGATGAAATATATCCTGATAGTTTTAATTATGTAAAATATGTGAAAAAAGAATGCCCTCACAGCTTTCTGTATTTAGAGAGCAATTAAAAAAAATGATAACCACATCTAACAACCACATTCTTAGGCAGAAAAAACTCATTCTCTTTGCAGTAGTATGTTTGAAGTTAGGTCAGAGCTGAATGGACATACAACTTTTCTCTGAAGTTATTGCACAGTTCCAGTCATGTGATCAAAAATTGGGTGCTTGGCAGCCCACTTACCACTCCAGGAGTACTTCAACTCCCCCTATCTCCCATCTATACCTTTTTACCCCCTGCATTCTGCAACCCCTGCTACCCTACACTATATTCTTGTTCCCACTTCTAATGAGTTTTCCTCATGTCACACACTGTGGTTTCATGGCCTCATGTAGCCAGCAGCTGCCTTGTGAAGGGTCAGGGAATGTATACCTTGTCAGCAGGAGCAAGAATCAACTGAGCAAAGCTGTGCAGGGTGGAAGATGTTTTCCAGTGCAGGGTAGCAAGAGGATGAGCTGGGGCGACTGAGGCTTCCTGGGATGGCAGCTTTATGCCAAATTACTGAGTGAGAGTCTTGCACACTGCTAGAACTTCCTTGGGGTGGAAGCTTTGCACTGAACTGCAGCTCAGGACTTCTTGCAGAGTGATGGCGTGCCAAGAACCTTGAGCCGCAGTGTGCCAAATGGCCCTAGGGCCATGCAATTTGGGGGATGATTGCCACACTGCAAGACAGGATACTTGGCGGCCAACAGAGAAGACAGAGAAGAGATGAAAAAGTGATAGTGGGTGAGGGTAGTTGAAGAGGAGGCAACTCCTTAGGCAGGCTATACTGTATTCATTAAAATTAAGATTTTTTTTATAGGTCTATAACAAAAATTATAATTTGTATAAAGTAACTTTGACAATATGGCTTCTGGGATATGGTGCACTGAACTAAGGTGGAGCAAACAGCCATGATTAAATGAAATATCCTTTGTAATTCTTCTCTGGACGAGGGAGAGGATTTCACATCATCCCAAGCGCTCCAGAGAGTTGCTCCTCATGAAGACACCAAGGCAGCAGTGACCATCAAGTTTACAATTCTGGAAAACAAGGGAATCTTGCTCAAACTAATGAATGTTGGGAATGGTTAATGGAACAAAAAGAAGGGGCAAGCAGTAAATACACTGGCTTAATAACATCAAATCTGATACAAAGTTGAACATCCAACAATTGAAAGAAGCTGTGCTCCAGGGTAGCATGGAGAGAACTTGCCTATAAAGTCGCCAAGAATCAGACATGACTAAATGGTTAAACCAGCCAACATCTTGCTCAAGCTTCCTTCTTTCTACTTCCAGAAGTTGCTTGTTAATTGCTTTTCAGCAATTTTAGGAACCATTAAACAGACAAGTCTGAAAACACCAAGTAAATTGTCTTCAAACCTTAGCAAAAGAAGTTCTAAACATAAATTTAAGGATTTAAAAAAAATATTAGGAGGGAGAAGCATAAACATCAAAAGGATGATTAGAACTTTGATTTGGGAATGTTACAAATAGAATAAGGCTCCAGATGGATTTGAAATGAGACATTGGAATTAATTACAAGAATCCTTATGGGAATATAGTTTTGTTTTGAATTCATAAATACTTAAAAACATGATAAGATGGGACTTTGAAGATTGGACACTATATAGAAAGAACTAAAGATTACAATTAAAGAAGATTTAAATTTTACTTACTAATACAGAATGGAGAAAAATATTTTAACATTTGACATATTGAAGGATAATTTTTAACAATGGACCTAGACATTAATTTTAACAGCATCTACTTTTATAGATAAGACTATATTTACAAGATATTATGGAAGAGGAACAAGTTTTACTATACAAGAATGAGACTGATTTGAAAGTGGATTTAAAATGACAAGCTATTAGAATTGTAGATGCTATATTTGACATACAAAAGAAAGAGGCTCATGTCTTAATAATTAAAAGGGATGTAGAAATAAGTCATGAGAGTGACCTGGATAAGACAAAGAAAAAATAAAAAGAAATCAAGTTCTATGACATTATTTGAAGGGATTAAAGTTCAAAATTGTTACAAGTAAAAGGAAGCAGGGTGGTTCATCTGATCAAAGTTAAAATAGATATGTTATTTCTAGTACATGTTTTAAGGATTTGTTTATAGGTAAGAGCTTAGATATGGGAAGAAAAGATCATTATTGTCTTTTATGACAAGATAAGTTACCAAAATTGTTTATATTCATTATAACGAATGGGGAAGTAATTTCTTTACATATATATTTTCATTTTCTTTATTATATTATTTTTCTATTATGTTTCTATTTTTTCCTTTTATGTACCTTTTCTCTTTTATAATTTTTAATTATAATAAATATAACATTACTATTAAAAATGAAAAAGTAACTTCAACAAGATATTTATAGCATAATGAACATCTTTAAATTTTATACAGCAAAATGTATCTATATAAGCAAATTATATATAATACATTTTGCAAATTATTTTATATTACAAGGAACATTATAAATTAAGTATTACATTTTTTCCAAAATATCCATTCTTTGCAATTTTGTCACAAAATTCTAAAAATACCCTATTTTCATGTCCTTCCAAATATTAGCAAAGCACTTACACTAAATGAAAAAAAAAAAAAAGAAATACAACGGAGCTGTCACAGAACTCTAAGTAATTGATTTGTCAAGGATCTAATTTACTGAAGATAAGGCAGTTGTACATCAAAGTATTCTATTAAAACTTTCTTTACAGCCACATAGTGGAAGATTTAGAAATAAAAGGAGAAAAGCTTTAATAACCTTAGATTGACTTACAAGTAAACCCTTCACAGGGAGAATTATTAGCTTTTAATTAACATTTCTATATTCCATAAAAGTATAGAAATGAGAAGTATAGAAATCTGATACATTTGATAAATAAAATATAGATCACTCTGTCATTATAATTAGATCTGATTTCAGCCATTTACCATAAAATGTCTTTGGCTTGTTCCCTTCAATATGAAGCTTAGCTTAAAGATGTCTTACTCAGAGAAAAATACTTTCCTGACCTGGAGAAACAGTTTAGTAGGTGGTGATGAAGGAACTAATATGAAAAAAATAAACAAGCACTGGTTTCATCACCCTCTTCCATCCACTGTTTTTCTTTTATTAAAGCTCTGTTCATATTATGACATATTGGACTTAGATCCTTATTTTGCATGTTCATATCTTACTTCATTCACAACACAAACATCCTTCCATTTGTGCAAAGGAATGTATTAGACTACCAAATGTTAGTTTCACTCACATTTAACAGGTACTGCCAGAGAAGAGATTCACATTGCAAAGTTCAGTGGAAGATACGACCCTCAACTCTACTTCCTCTTCCCCACCAAATTTGTCTTTTGTGAGCACCTGATATCAGGAGAGGCAGAGTTAATCGTGTAAATATGCCTGGACACCATTAAAACAAACCTTGAAAATGCACCTGCACTATCACATTGAACAAATTTTTTTCCCTTTAAGAATAAATTAGACTGCATTACAGACCAAGAATGTTAAGCCAGTACAATTGAGACATCTGCAGACAAAAGAAAAAGCACACAAAAAGATCTTAAAGGCACACATCTTGAATTTAGTATAGACAGAATAGAATTAGGCAAGATCGAGAGTAAATGGATTAATATAACGAGGATAAAGTAAATATAGAATATAGATATACAGACACATTCATTCATTCATCCTTCCATTCGTTTTAGTAAGTTTACAGTCATCTAACCTGAAAATCAGGTATCAGAAAACCAGATATCCCATGTAACATCAATAGCCACATGCAAAAAGTTAAGAATAAACACTTCCAAAGCAAAAGAAGTTCTACCTCTCAAAGTTATTTTATTAACTAAAATAAATCTTCAAATATGATCCCAAACTTGTTGAAACAGAGTTGCTGCATTAAAAAGCCAAATATTCTAACATTTTAAACACTCTTTAACATAAGCTTTTATGACTGAATCCTTGTGTGTAGTATGTTCATTGCAGCTGCCTGAAGAGACTTCACCTATGGTAGGCCAGTAACTAGAAGCAGCTCCTAGAGAGGCAAGAGATTTTTTTCAAACACCAATGTAGTGTACAGAAGGCCATCTAAATGCCCTGTGCTTTGTAGCATTAAACTTTCTTTTATATCTTATCTGTGTGGGTTGGCTTGACCAGTGAGAGGAAAAACCGGAGATAAAACTGCAACAAGAGAGGCAAATTGCAAGGAAGAAAAAAGAAAGCATCAGTTCAGGAATATCGCTACTCATAAACTCCTCCCTCCCCCAAACTCACAACCTAATATTTATTATTCTGTCAAGGCATTCAAGGGATGCTCGAGAGCCTCGACGTCCCCCCTTTGCCGCCGCCTCCTCCCTTCTTCTTACTGCAGACTTTTTTTTAGACATTCCCTGAATACCTATCTATCCCCAGATACAAATAAATAGCAACACAATAAAAAAAAGAAGGCGCTGGGGGGAAAAGCGAGCTTGAATTACTGCATATCGATATTTCAACACCCGCCCCCCACTCATCCCTATTACGGGTACTCCCAGCCACCCGCTCGTTTCTCTCAAGGCTAGCTTTTATGAAGCCTACTTATTTTGCTCACAAAGGTGCTGTAATTCCTATCCATGGGAAAGATTTTAGTCCAAGTTATGCTGACTTTTATGTTACATATTGTCTCTCAACCTATTATCAAGAAGAACCCCCCACCCCACCTCCGCAACCCAACTCGGCAAGCCTGACTCTGTACTCAAAAGCAATTGACGGGCCCGAAGAGCTGCCCGCAGGGACACCCCCTCAGCAAAAACAGAAATTCAGACACGAGCCCCCTTCCTTATTCATCCACGACCTCATTAACGGTAAAGGTCACGCGGCCACCGAGTTCATCCCCCCCCTTACTCGCTTACCCTACTTGCAGCAGAACCTCGGGTAGATGGCTACGCGCACGCGTCAACCACGGGAGACAAAAATGCCATGCGCGGCGCGTGCGCACTCATTCTTGGCTTTGGCCAGTCGGGTGGACGAGCCAAGGAGGGGGCGGAGTCAGAGGAGGAAGGACCAGCTGGAGCAGGTTAGTAGGCTGGACGGGAGAATTTGTGGGGAGCGCACTGGGTGTTTTCAATTTATGTGAGTGTGAGTGTGAGCCAAGCCATCTCTTTACGTGGATCTTCTGGTGTGAGAATATGGTTTTGTTCGTACGGTTACTTGAGCTACAAGACACATGCAAACCATTGGATGTGCGAACCCAAGTCGTATATCGAGTGGCTTCATGGTTCAGAATGCCTTTCTGTCCCGGGAAATTCAGAAAACTGTGGTTAAGTTAATCGTGGGTAAACATGCAGTTCAAGCCCAGGCCATTTTTTTTTTTTTTAACTATGATTCACGTGTAAACTGTTCAATTCGAGAAACGAAACCACTGTATTTGCGGATTTCGGTTATTCCGTAAAAACAGAATTTTTGGCTGAGTCTTTTTTAATGCAGAAATATAAATTGTCCTTGTTGACAGATAACTAGTGATATTTGTGAGCTGCTTATGAGCAATACAGCGTTGTCTGATATGCCTGATTATTCTCCAATCAAGTATTTGCTATATTGGATTACCTTTTTTCCATGGTATGTTGTTTGAGGTGATGGATAAGTGCAGACCAACATAAAGCAAAGCAGTGGATAGGAAAAAGTGCACTTAATTGTGAATCTTGATTATATCGTTCATTATTCTGTTTAAAAGAATAATCCAATCCTAATCGATTTGGGAAATAAAAGCGTAGTAAAGCAGAAAGGAAAGAGAAATGCAGCATTAGATGCGCAAGAAAGTAAAAGGCTGTAGAAAAATATGCCTGAGGAGTAATCCACCTTGAATACACTTCTAAATTAAGCATGTCTAAAATCAGATTGGAAGACTTATGAATGTTATAAAGGGTACAAAATTAGTATAATATGCAATTTTTAAATCACTCTTACAAACAGCTATTTTATAGAATAAGTTACATATATAACTTGGTTAACTGAAAAGTTACATTTTTGAAGGGTATAACTTATTATAAATTGTTGCATTCTGTTTTAAAACACATGCACATATTTGATTTTAAAATAAAGTTACAGTGGCTTGGTGATTTGTTTGATGAGGAATGAACTAAAAGTTAGAAATCATAACACATTACATTAAATGCCTGGTCTGTCTCTATTTTTGACTTTAAAGTAATTTCACCATTAGCAGTTTTCAGTTCTTCTGATCCTTTGTTTTTATTATTTTGTTATTCCCAGAGAGTGAAAACAAGTTTTTCCATCTTTTCGTTAAGAAAATACTGCATTAAGAGATAGTTCTTTGTTCATTAAGCAACAGGAATTGAACATTTCCTGCTTTTCTCCATTGGGCCTTCACATCTTCAGTTGCGATGCCATTTTTATTTATTCTCCACTGCCCTTTTCATTTCTGTTTTAGGAATTTCAACTGTCCTGCTTCATTTTTGTTTCTTTTTTTTAATCCTGCTTTTAAATACTTTGATTTTCAATGTTTTCTTTCTCTCAAGGCTAGTTTTTATAAAGCCTACTTATTTTGCCCACAAAGGTACTGTAATTCCTATCCATGGGAAGGATTTTAGTCCAAGTTATGCTGACGTTTATGTTACATATTGTCTCTCAACCTTTTTCATTTGCTTTGCATTACAAATATTGTTGAACGTTCTAAGAAAACTAATACATGCCAGATGCTTCATTGTCACCATCATATATTCTCCAATACTTAAATTATAAATCATGTTTGCTGAAAAATAACATGGATTATATTGAATGGAGTCTTTGTTTGATATAGTGAAATTTATGTGTATATCCAATATTAGCTAAAGATAGTGAAAAATACTTCCATAAATGTCTGCTTTAGGTCTTGAAGCTAAAAGCTTCAATCCATGGAGAGATTGATCACTGAACAGTATCTGAAACTACCCTCCCCCAATATCTTCCCGTGGTGCATGTGCACAAAGGATCTCAGAAATTAAATCCCTTTGAGCTTGTTTAGAGGATATAATGGGGAAGCACTGCCATAGCTTTCTATTAGCTAAAGAGCAATATGTTCCTTTCTATATGGCAGGGGTGGCAAACTCGCAAGTCACGTGATGTGTCGCAACGTATCACGACTTTTTTGTCATTGCCGGCAATGTGGTTTTGCTATGATGCATCTGGTCCGCGGGCCGGCAGTTTGACACCCCTGCTCTATGGGATACTCATCCTCTTCAAGGACAGGATGGAGATGTGGATATCTGTGGAGTGGTGAATGAGGAAATGGATTACACCCACTTTACCTCACCATGCACATCAGCTAAATTAACCCTAATGTTTAATATTTTACTAATACTTACTTAATTGTCTTCACCCAGAACCTGAACATACCTGTAACATAGTACTAGACAATATTACAGTAGTAGACTAATTTGCAGGCTGAAATGTTTTGGTGTAGTTGTCAGCATTTTGGGGTATCGAAACTTCTATTGCCTGAAATCCAGGGGACCCATTGCCAGTTGCTGTGTGAGCTGGGTGTTTCTATTTCACAGTACAGAGAAAGCTGTTCTTTATATTCCTGTTTAAAGCATCAATGCCCTAACTATACAACTTTAATCCCCCAATTAAAAAACAGTCAATACTATCAAAGCAGCTTTTTTTATTTATAAATAAAATGTTTAAATGAAAACTCAAATATATATTTTTGATAGATCTTAGTTAATGCTAATATATTGTCTTTACCTTTTTAATGTTAAATTTATCTGAGATTGTTTTGAATACTTTCCTACTTGTTTTTACACTTATTCCTTCTGGAAATTCATTGTATATTTTTGGTTTCATTATAAGTGAAATACTTTTATCTTTTATTTCTTTTTAAACCACTAATGAGGAAAAAAATCCACTTTATTTCTCTCTAGTCCATATAATTTTTTTCTAAAGACTACCTGAATAATCTCAGATTGAGGCTTTTCTATTTGGAGTGGTCTGAATACTATAAAAGAAATATTGATTAAAGTAACCTCATAATTTATAAATAATGACATACAGTAGCTAGTTAGTTAGATTAGTTAGTTCTAATCAGTATTTAGCAGTTTTTATTTTACTTCACTGCTGTTAACTGTAAAACTAAGAATACAACCTATTTCTATCAATTCCTCTTCATTTCTCTTTCAGGGGCACACATGTTCTAGACTTCTGACATGTTTTCCTTAAAGGATTCAGAATTAGGAGCTTTCACCTTTTTTGCTTCAGCTCTCCCAAATGATGTTTGTGGCAGCAATGGTCTACCTTTGACTCCAAACTCCATAAAGATCCTGGGCCGCTTTCAGATTCTTAAGACACTTACACATCCCCGGCTTTGCCAGTATGTGGATATTTCTCGTGGAAAACACGGTAAGTTGTATTGTTCTTTTCAGCCCCATGACTTTTGGGTGTGATTCGAAGACTGTTACATTAATTATTTTGTATATGTAGTTCAGAGTTCTAGAAACTTCAAAGACTTCTACATTTATTTTTCCTAAAGGCATTTGTTTGCTTTTCTCTGGACTGACTCCGTTGTAGCATATTTCAGTCTTATCTCTATTGTTACACATAACAGTCACAGATGTATGTAGCTGCTGTTTCCTTACAGGCTTTGTTATCCTATAGTTTAGATTACACTGATAATTTTGAGTTATTTCCTTTTCTTTTTCACACTCTGTCTATATATTTTTCTTACCATCCCCTTTGTCTTTTTCAAGCTTCTTTTTTTTGCTGGGTTCTGTTTGGTTTTAAATGTATGAACATTCACTGTGTTTATTTCCTAGGTCCTGTATTTCATCAGTGGGTCTTGCTTTCACTTTAATTCCTTAAATCTCTCTTTTGATGTAGGAAGTTGAAAAGAAATGTGCTTCACAGAAGGCACTCTCAACAATCCTTTCCCACTTCCTACTCCCAATTCTTAATACAGAATTTATTGCTGGCACATATAACAGTAAAATTGATGGGGCAACTGTAATTCACACCTCTACGTTGCTTATAAACTTCTGAATCTTGCAAATCTTTGAATGACACAGTTTAAATTGCATTTTTTTCACATCATATGAAAATGAAGTGAAACATATTAATTTCTTATAGTTTAAAATTTGTGTTTTAAGATACATTGCTTTCTTCAGGATACATAGGTTCAAATTGCATTAGGATTAGGTGACTATGTATTTCCACCAGATGTTATAATGTCATTATAATAATTGCACCATTTTCATAATGATGTCATAATATGACACGTTATGGTTGCTGCTGGCTCTCCACAATTTAACTATAATTCCCATTAATCCCGTGTAGTCTGGATATTGATAGCTGTGATTCAGCATATCTGGAAGACATCAGGTCAAGGAATGTTGGTATAAGCTAATAATCCTTATGGCTTATCTTTTGACTGTAGTGAAGGTTGTGATATATACGTTAGACTGGCTGAGTTTCTGCTTTGTACTAGCCTTGGTTTATTTTAATATGCCTGTCTGTGTATATAGCAAATTGGCTGTTATTTTCATAGAAAGCTCTAGATGGATGCACAAATCATGCTATGCCATAAATCATGGCTTACAAACCATAGTGGTTGAGTGCACATAACATGAAACAAACTACATTATAGCTTAACACGATTTTAATGAAAATTAGGGGTATTTTATGGTAGACCAGAAGCAAAGGTATTTTGAATAGCCTACATTTTGAAGTATTTAGTGCATTTATTGTGTTTAAATGCATGATGTTAAGTTAGTTATTAACTTCCTGCCCCTTTTTTCTAGTTGATTTAAGCATACTGAATAAGATCAAGCAAGAAACATTAACTGTTGATTAATGTTATGTATGCCATTGATGCAATTAATATTTATGTAAAAGGTATACTTGATATTGGCATCTGGAATTGCATGATTTTCATCCTTTGCCATTGGCTGAAATCCCACCTGGGAATCTTGCCTATTATTCATGTAAAGAGAAGTTTTTCTTTCCATTTTGCTAGAAAATCTTGAGGAATATGTCCTTTGTATGACATACAAAGGACTAAAGTTTTCTGTGCTAGGGCTTAAGTCTGCATTAGCCCTTCTACAGTACTAACAATTTAGTTTTAAAACAATTCACACTTTTATTAATTCTCTGAATGATATCCTATTTAATTTCTTTTTTAAAATTTTGAGTTAATTTGTGCACAGTAAATTTTTAAAGTGTAACTTAAAAGTCAATATTAGTTAACGTTGCTGAGAAGAAAATAAGGATAGGTTTGCTCTGATTTGATCTTTACTTCATTTTGAGATATGAACAAGGAAAGAAAAGGTGTAGTTACAATGGAGAATATTGTTAAGATGGGCATAGCCCTAAAAAAAGCCAATAGACATATCAGCCAAGAGTTTTGACTAACCTCACTATTATGCTATACTTTGAATGTTTTTTATGTTTCAAGAAGTGCTTGACAGTTACTTGTTGCTGAATTCTTCAAATATTTCTGTGAAAGGAAAAAATAGAGGTGAAAGGGAACATCACAGATTCCACCGTTCCTCATTTTAAGTGTTATATTTTAGTGATAAAACAATTACATCATTGTAATAGTAAAAGTCAGTGGCTACTTATTTATCCCATTTATATACTGTTGCCTTCTTAAAACACTCTTGGCAATTTATACACAAGATAAATATATAATGTGCAGTAAAAACACCCAACAGTTCCCAAACCAATTAAAATTCCTAGAATAAAATTAATTAGCAAAACCAAACAATCAATATGGCTGCCAAAGGAGAAAGCTGTGTATTCATCTTCGGGATTCCACAATTTTAAGAAGAAGGTCACAAAGTGGTATTTCAGGACTAGGTGGAAGATGCACACATATGGAATAGGGAAAAAATATGTCAAACTTTGGAACTGACATACTTCATTTCCTTTAAACATAGAAAATGTAATACATGGAACATTTTCTGCTAAGCTGGTAGATTTTTCCCTGCTAATGAAGCATTGGCTTTAAATCCTCCTTTGGGATAAAAAGTAGCTATATATATTTCAAAAGTAATAAATGGATAAAAAAGTACATGAAATCTGACTTGTGAAACTTCATCTGGATTTAGTGGTTATTAATAATAACTGCTAGCTATATGTTAACTTCAGTATTCACCATGTAAGAGTTCCCAACAAAGTAACCTTTGACTTACAACCACAATTGAGCCCAAAATTTCTGTTACTAAGTGAGACAGTTGTTAAGCAAGTTTTGCCCCATTTTACCTTTCTTGCCAGAGTGGTTAAGTGAATTGCTGTTAAGTTAGTAACATAGTCGTTAAATGACTCTTCCCCATTGACTTTGCTTTTCAGAAGATTGCAACAGGTGATCACAATAATCCTGGGACACTATAACTATTGAATCAGTTGAATTTTGATGATATGACCATGAGGATACTGCAATGGTCGTAAATGTGAAAAACTGTCATAAGTCACATTTTTCAATGCCGTTATAACTTTGAACGGTCACTAAGTGAGCTATTGTAAGTTGAGGACTACCTGTATTTGAACATGTTGACAATTATGGGGAGGGAGACTTACCTATTCACAAAGTAGCTGTCACAATAAAGGCAGCTAGTCATAAAATACCAGTTTATATCTCAAGGCAGCCTAATAAGGTCACTCCATGCCACCTTCTGTAGTCATTCAGAATACACCTCAGCAACCAGTTTAGCTTTGCCAGGCAGACAGACACATTTTAATGTAAGCGCTGACCTACAACTCACCATTTTTTATTTCCTAATAATCCCTATGGAGCTTAGAATCCAAGAGCTCTGGAAGCAAAGTTAAATTTGGAGATTTTTACTTTGTGGAATTCCAGGTTCTTGTTTAATTTTGTTTACAGTTAAACAAACTAAAAAAATAATTAAGGTTGGGCCTCATAGGTGTCATAGGTGGTATCTTGGCAGCTACAAAGATCCTATTGAGAGTTCCGGCATTATGGATTCCCCGTTCTGTTATATCTCATTAAACTAAGTAGGCATCTTCTTTATATTATATGATGCGGTGTGTCATAATATGGTTTTAATTTTGACAAGATGTTAAAGTAAAAGTGTTTGGTTTCTATATGCATATTATTATACTAAAACTGTCTTTGTTCATGCCTATATTTTCCATCAGAGAGGCTGGTGGTTGTTGCTGAACATTGTAGAAACAGCCTGGAAGATTTGCTTCGAGACAGGAAACCAGTGAGGTATGATATCAAGAAAAAACATGGCAAGGAAACACGCTAACTGAAAGTTTATCTACTTTAAGTGAAAAAGTCCAGATACACTTTTTCTTTTAAAACCTTAACTATCTTTACAGGTCTATATAGATTCAGACCTGACATCTTCCAGCTCTGCTTTATCCTTCTGGCAGCCAGATTAACACATGCTTAGAATAAAAAAGATATTTACTTCTGCAGAAAAAGGATAAAAGTTGTATTTCTTAATGAAAATGCTGGAAGCTGCCAGACATTTATCCCAGTATATTTTGTTTGTGTTTGCTTAAAGTTTGTACTTTTAAAAAAATATAAACATAAACATAGTTTCTTGGAAATTACAGTAAAACTGTGTGCGTCATTGTGCATTGATTATAAAGAGTTTTACATTTTAAAATTATGAGTAGTGGTGAAAAAGGAAAAAAAATATTTCTTTACATATATTTATTTAGAATATTTCTGTGATAAATTGCTTTTAGTTTATTGTGTTTGGGTTATTGTATTTACGGGGGAAAAAATCCTAAATACAATCTTATATTAGGAGAGTTATAATCTTTTCTCTTAACTATAGATAGAGCCTGAAACCCTTTAAAACAATGTGAACAGAACTGAATGTTCCAACTCTTTTGATTACAATGAGCTCCCCCCCCAGTTTGAATTGGCTCTTATATTTATGGCATCAAAATATTGTACTTATTTTATGTAAAAGCAAAGTTGCAGTGTTTCCAATGTACACTTTGTTTCAAAGTATTCTATGCACACAAAGGCTTGTTTGAATATTCTTGCTAATATATGCATATATACATAAACAACATAATTTTTATTTTCAATATTTTATTTCCATCGTTCCTCAAAAAGCTTAAATCCCGGAAAGTTTTTTCAAAATTGTTTTTAAAAACCCCTATCAAAGGAATTTATATGAAAGCACTATTTACACTATTTGCACACGCACATGCACGCACACATACACAGATATACCAGTGACTAAGATTCACATTAAGCAGTATATACATATGGAATATCTTTTCTGTGCCATGCTCAAGCCAGTAGAGTGGCATAGCTTCAGTATAACAAAAAGGCTATTTTACCTCAAGGAGAATTCCAGTGTGCCCAGGGAAAAAAATGTATTGCATTTAATTAAAGTGAACATTGTTTTCTTTTGTAAGAGTTTTCAATAGCCAGAAATAATTTAAGAAAGGGAAATACTCCATTATGTTGCTTAATCCATTTTGGTGAATTAGTTTTACAACAGATTTTCCAACTCTTCATATATGTTTGGTTTGTATTAATTCATGATAGAATACCCAAAAGTTGATGTGAATGCTTTTGTAATTAATTTCTGAAACTCTTAAGGAATGAGAGAAGCTGTCCTTATGGTTTATAGATTAATTCATTACACTTGTCAGAAAAAATGTCCTTTGTACCTATAATATAAGCTGATGTCAAGTCAGCAGGAAATTTGTTAGGCTGTGTTGAAATTGAAGATATACCAGAGTAGACAGTCCATATTTCCTTGCAAAGTGGAAAATAGCAGGCTTTCCAGCTGTCTGATCCTTTTTTCACAACTAAACTTATGAAGTCATTGATCATTGTATATATTACATATGAGCTAGGTATTTGTATGTTTCTGTATATTTCTTCTTTGGTTATAAGATTGCAAGATTATTCTTCTTTTCTATTTTGTTTGTTCTCCCTGTCCCTGTGTATGTTTTAATTTTCAGTTCATTTCTTAGAGGATATATCCAATATTTTACTGAGATACAATTATAAGAGCAGATGAGAGTTTTAAAAGAGAATTAGATGTCAAAATAGTCTAAAATCATTCTTTTAGAACATTTGATGATTAAATAATTAAAGATTGTAGTACTATCCGACTGAAAAATTGGGATTTTGTGCATGCCTAGTTAGCAAAGTTTACTCCTTTGAACAGACTAGGATTTTTTTCATAAAGCCCATTGGATTGTTCTGTCTATCTTGTTCAAGTTTTAGGTGATAGTTTGGGGTGTGTGTATTGTTGTAGTATATAATTTCAAAAAGCATCTTAAATTGTATGTTTGTACCATGGCATTAGAACTCTCATCTTATTTCCTTCCTAAATTGTGTTTGTTCAGCAAAAAAGAAAAAATAGTTTAAGCAAAATAGTATTGGTTCTTTGAATTAAAAGCTTGTATTGAGTTTAAATGTATCAAAAGTTTAAGTACTCATTAATCTGAACCTGATATGTAGTGGATAATACTAATTTAGCATTCTGCTGTGTGTGTATGTGTAAATAGACATACTGTAGATATTTAAATATGTGCACATATATTGTATATGTATGCCTATGTGCATGTATGTGAATAAATATGTGTGTGTATATGTATATATATAAATGGAATGAATAAAGCGCGTTCACCAGGAGAGTTTAAAGTTAAAATACTTTAATTAAAGTATTTTACTATATTAAAAGGTTGCCAAGCTTTCGTTGGGAAAACTCCCCAACATCTTCAGGGCTGAGAGATCGTTTCTAATAAGGTGGTTTAAACGGGTTCCATAGACATCTGCGCGTGGCTCCTAGACCATGCTAGCGTTTCCCGCTGAACAGCTGATAGGTGGGAGGGGGAATCGGAGTAAAGATTTCTTCCGTCGTTCTCTCGAGCACTTTTGTTCACATCTCCGTCGATCTCAGAGGGTATTGTTAAAGCTATGTTCCGCCCTCTCCCGGCAGCACTGGCTCTCGTTGCAGCGGGGGGATTTAGTTCGATGTCATTGTGTATCCTACCATGGAGGCGGGGCTTCATCGGCTGCAATTTAACATCTTTCCTCTGCTGCGTGCTCCCGTATTTATCTTCACTCGCATGTACAAGCATCAACTGGATGTGGTATTTTTCAATGTTTGAATCATCCTCCTCCGTCGTGGTGTCCTCCATGCTCATCTTCCCTCGTAGGTCAATATTCAAGTTAAATCCCCCCCATTTCTGTGAGCAAAAGTCTGATGGTATTTGGGCAGATTCCCCGCTCATGTTACTTTCCCTTTTATCAAGCGAACGGGTCGTCATCACATGTTTTTTCTCCCCTCTCTGTATGGGATATTCACCTTTATTATTATTACGGGTAGTGCTAAATTTAGTGGTTCTATCCTCAAATTTCTTAAGCGCTCCAATGTCAAAGGGGAACCCACACCCCCTTTGATTGGAGGAAACAACAATAATTTCTCCATGCGTGGGGAGAAAGAAAGGGAGGGGGCACCCGATATGGACGATCTACGCACCGCCCAACAACTCCATGTGAGGCTCACACACCCCCAGGAGGGAGGAAGCGATACCAGTGGAGCCGGAACACCTAAAAGACTTAACGTTAAAATCTCAGAGTGTGCCGTTGCCCATAGCAACGAGGAGGAGCGTCCCACATGGAGAGGGTAGAGAAAGCATAGAATGACAACCCGCTCGATCAGTAAGGGGAGGAATAATGAGAGCAGTTTGAGTGCCAAACAATGGGAGGGAACGGATGTAAGGAGGACTGGGGTGGTGAATAAAGACATGATTGCTGAGGCATACCATACTCAGATAAGAGCTGTTGACACGACAAAGGAGGAGAGAGGTATACAATTGGGAAGGGATATTAATCCACAGTTAGTGGAACCCTATCCCCATCCTAAGACACAAGAAAACATCAGATTGAATCCTCCCCCCGATACGGCAGGCGTTGGTATTATCGGAAGAGGAGGGGATGCAAGGTTACTAACGCCTCCAAAGGCCAATAGTGGAGGGATAGGGAGGGGCATCCGAAGAAAAGAACATAACGTTATAGACACATCTTGGTTATCAGCTGGCCAATCAGGTCCAGTAACATGGTCTAGGAGCCGTGCGCAAACGTTACTTGAACCTACTTAAACCACCTTTATTGTAATGGCCTTTTAGCCCTGACGATGCTGGGGAGTTCCCCCAGCGAAAGCTTGGCAACTTTTTAGTATAAGTATATTTTTAGTAAAGTATTCTTACTTCAACCCTCCCGGTGATCGTATTTTATTCTTTTATTCATAATTATGCCCGGGAGTCGCATTTTTACATATATATATATATATATATATATATATATATATATATAGAGAGAGAGAGAGAGAGAGAGAGAGAGAGAGAGAGAGAGAGAGAGAGAGAGAGAGAGAGAGAGAGAGAATGCTTTATGAAGTGTGTGTAGAATTATTACACATTTCAAAATTAATGAATATATTTTTATTATCACTTGTATTGTCCATTGGTATGATACAGGCAGTCCCTTTGCTAAGAACAAGTGCTAAGAACAAGTTCCTTTCCTAAATCTACTTTTAACTAGAATTTATGTAAGTTGGAACAAGTATTTAGTATCAATCTGAAGAAAGGGGGAGAGAATCTGTGTGTCAATGTGTATGGCTGTTAAAAGATTTAGATAAGGGAGAAAAAGATCATGATTAACATTTACAGTACTCTTCCTCCGTCTTTTCTTTCATTCATATGTATACATAAACCATTGAAAAATCTTCCTTTATATAAATTTTACTCTCATTTGATTTTGCAGGATAGTATAACAGAAGGGCCATTTGCAAAGTAAAATCACGGCTGGTGTTCTCTTTACTCAAGTCAGCAGTTCATTGGTGCAATTTTTTCATGAACCATTGAAAACTGGCTTATGGTATATTAAAAATGCATCCACTACTTTGCGATGCTTATGGAGACATTGTGTGGCTTTGATAGTTTGTTGTCTGGGATATGGAGGGAGAATATCATACACCTCTGAGTCAACAGCCCATTTGTAACTATGGGTTGTCTGAAGCTGGACATTTTTTAACCCAAAGACTACCTATATTTTCACAAACATTTATTGAGAAGTTTTTTTCAAGGGTTTAAAGAGGGCCATTATTTATTTTATTCTTCATCATTCATGTGGTACTTTATATTGCCTTTTGAAACTTTGAAATTAAAACCTAGGAAAAGAGTATACAGACTTTTGGCACCTGTAGTACTTTGTTGACAGTT